TAGCCATCCTCAGGCCTCAGGTCACAGTTTCATGCAGAGGAAATTTAATAGGAAAAACTAAAACCGCTTACCTGAGATCTGCTCAAGGAGAAAGAGAGGGATCTTATCTTGATGGTTGGTGCAGCAGACAGTTTCAAACTAACCCAAAGCTCACCTAATACAGACCTGCCAGATCAGGTGACCACACTGGTGTGCTTTGATTGGCTGTTATAGCTTAGCCTATTGTTAGAGGGAGTGGAGCATGACAGTGTAGTTTATATATGACATATTTAAAGTCAGAATTATAAGCCCTCTTGAATTATTATTAGCTGCCCTGTATATTTGACCCCAATTTATGTTTAATGGAGAGAAGATTTTCCTAAACACACATAATAGTTTTAATAACTGATTTCTTTTATCTTTGCCATGATGACAGTACATTATATTTGACTAGACTTTTTTCTATATACTAGTATTAAAGTGACATTTAAAGGTGTAACTGGGTTAATTAGGTGGGTTTGGTTGATTAGGCAGGTCGTATCATAGTAGTTTGTTTTGTAGACAATAAAAAAACACATATAGCTCAAGAGGGTTAAAAGTATTGACCTTAAAATGCTTTAAAAAATTAAAAACTGCTTTTATTCTAGCCGAAATAAAGCAAATAAGACTTTCTCCTGGAGAAAAAAAAATATTATAGGAAATACTGTAAAAAATTCCTTGCTCTGTTATAAATAATTTGGGAAATATTTTAAAATAAATGCACATGAGGGCAAATAATTATGACTTCAACTGTATATATTATATTGAATGTTTTTTTCCAGACACTAGATCCAATAGCAACTGAAGTACAATACAAGCCAATCAAAATACATTGAAAAGAACATTTATGCTGATACTTCCGCAATGTTGACTGATAATGCACATTAATAAGTTGTGGATTCGTCAACGACATTAAAATGCTATTTAGAGAATTCTCTAGACAAGTTAATATATTCATCAAATTTCTCAACAAAGCAGCAAATGGTTAAACTCTTACCTTACAGAATAAATCACCAGCACTGCAACATCTAAGTGTCATTGTATGCAACCTGCAGAAGACTCTTTTAAAAAAAAAAAAATACCACAAAGGGACAACTGCAATATATTCAGGAGGTTTACTGTAACTCGCTCTCAACACATCACATTTTCTCAACAGCATATTTGCTTGAGCATTTAACTTGCGTCAACGTACACTCACCGGATACTTTAATAGGTGCACCTGTCCAACTGCTCGTTAGCACACATTTCTAATCAGCCAATCACATGGCAGCAACTCAATGCATTTGGGCATGCAGAAATGGTCAAGATGATCTGCTGCAGTTCAAACCGAGCATCAGAATGGGGAAGAAAGCTGATTTAAGTGACTTTGAACGTGGCATGGTTGTTGGTGCCAGACAGGCTGGTCTGAGTATTTCAGTAACTGCTGATCTACAGGGATTTTAGCAGACAACGATCTCTAGGTTTTACAGGGAATAGTCTGAAAAAAAGAAAATATCCAGTAAGAGTGGCAGTTCTGTGGGCGCAAATGCCTTGTTGATGGGGCGAATGCCTTTTCAGGCTGGTTCCAGTGGATAGAAAGGCAACAGTAACTCAAATAACCACTCGTTACATTTGAGGTATGCAGAAGAGCATCTCTAAAGGCAAACCACGTCGAACCTTGAGGCAGATGGGCTACAGCGGCAGAAGACCACACCGGGTGCCACTCCTGTCAGCTAAGAACAGGAAACTGAGGCTACAATTCACACAGGATCACCAAAATTGGCCAATAGAAGATTGGAAAAACGCTGCCTGGTCTGATGAGTCTTCATTTATGCTGCTACATTGTATCAGTCCATACCTTTATGACCACGTTGTGCCCATCTTCTGATGGCTATATCCAGCAGGATAACGCTCCATGTCATAAAGTGCAAATCATCTCAGACTGGTTTCTTGAACATAACAATGAGTTCACTGTATTCAAATGGCCTCCACAGTCACCAGATCTTAGTCCAAAAGAGTACCTTTGGGATGTGGTGAAATGGGAGATTCACATAACTGACAAATCTGCAGCAACTGTGTGATGATATCATGTCAATATGGACCAAAATCTCTAAGAAATATTTCTAGTACCTTGTTGAATCTATGCCACGAAGGATAAAGGCAGTTCTGAAGGCAAAAGAAGGTCAAACTGGGTACTAGTAAGGTGTACTTATTAATGTGCCGGTATATACAATCAACCCCATTATTATTTATACCTCTGATGGATTCTAACTTAAAGTTTTTGCTCAAATGTAAATAAAAGCATATCTTTTCCCCGCACAACAGTACCTCTTGTACATTATCTTATCATATTTTGGGAGAAGCCAGAGTCATTTTCAGTCCCAAAAAATTGCTGGTACAATAAAAGTGACAAAGTATGAATTTGATAAAAGGATATTAATAATTTCAGCCTGGACTGTATATGTTTTTAGGGTCAGTATTAAAAAGCAAGCCATCACAGGTGATTTTTCCATTGGTCTCTTTATTGTGGTCACTGAGACAATGATACAACGTTGAAACATTTGCTCTGTATGGAACTAGTGGCTACAAATGTTCAGGTAATTGCAATTAAAGGTGGTGCGACTTGCATAGTGTTACTCAGAAACAATACATAAGTGTTTACAAATAGTAAAAAAGAAAAACTTGATTGTCAAAGAAATACAAGCAGAATAGAGGAACGTTGAACATTTAGAGACATTTGCGTTAAGCTACGGTGGCAGAACTGGATATTCTTTGTCTGACAAAAGAAGTCAGAAGTGGTACACATTTGTTTTTTTAATATAACATGACAACATTATTGAGGTTCTGCCAGCTAGCTATCGAAAGCAGGCAACATCAATGCTGCCATTTAGTATGAACTGATTTGCAACACAGAAAGAAACTGAAACACTTAAAGGATAAACACAAACTGACTCAGACATTCACTTTGCTGAAGTCAGGATGTGTTTTTGGAAACAATGTCTTGCATTATATGCTAAGATTTGATCAATCATGCCATTTAAAGAGATTGATCACCCGAAAATGAAACATTTCAGATCATTTATACTCACCCTCAGGCCATCCAAGATGTAGATTGAGACTTTGAGAGTGGAAAAACATTAAACAAATACATTCAAAACTAAATTAATCATTATATTCGCTAACTCGAGCTAAAACAGCACAATTCTGGAGCTGTTTTTGGGGACAACTTAATTGTATTATGTTCAACTTGAATGTATAAAAGCTAGGTTAACTTAATTCTTTCAATTGGGTTGAACCCAGCAGCGATTCTTTTTACAGTGTGGAGCTGAAGCAGTGGATTAAAGACAACAATGATGTAATTAAAATAGTTTTCTTGCACACACTGATCATTTTAATAACAAGACATGAGGAACTACAGGTATTAATGAGTTTTTTACCCTGCAAGTGGTGCATTTTATTCACTACCACAGTTCATTCAATACCACATCATCTTTACTGTAAACAAACTGCTTATCGATCAAGTTAACTAAAAGTGTTTTAACATATTTTCTAGAGTTTAAACTTAGCTAATGATTAATAATAAAGCATATTTGGCATGCTGTCCCGGGAGAAAGCCTCTCCCATTTGCAGAGCGAGAGAGGAGTTTGAGTTCAGGTAGATCTCGATGAACTCCCCTGACTTAATTCTGGCTAATGACGCATATAAGAAGGCTAAGGAGAGATGTACGGCTTGCTAAGAGCTTGGCTATGGTATCAATTTGGTTATGTTCAATTTATTAGGTTGCATGTTTTTTGGATTATGGGACGAAACTGAAAAACCCGGGGAATACCCACGCGAGCACGAGGAAAACAAGCAAACTCTGCACAGAAATGGATTAGAAACCAGAGATTTTACCCAGAGACTTTCTTGCTGTGAGGCAACAGTGCTAATTACTGAGCCACCATGTCACCCATCTGAAAAGGAGGGGGAGTAGTGGTCTATAAGGGGATATAAGGGGATACTGAGATTAGAAAACTGGTTATTTATAGTGGGTTAGGGATCATCTGATTGGTGGATCAATCATGAACTGATGAGGGACCAGCTGTGATCAATCATAAGCATGTGATGCTCTCGAAATTAGTTTGTCAACAAACTTCACTAAGTAGTATGAACATAAATAAAGCTGTCCACCCAAATAATTCAAAGTGGCATTGTTTTAACTGACTTTAAGAGCAGTTTGAACAAGCAGCAATAGTCTTTTCTTTTGAGTGTTAAATGAAAAAGCCAGCCAAAAGTCATCTTGGAATATCTGAGGCTGGGTAAACAAACAAAATAAATGCTCATTATTAGGTGATCTGTCCCTAAAAGCCCAAAAGTGCATTTCCCTTACTTCTGAGTACACTCTTTCACCAATACCGATAATTTCACATGACATAGTGATTAACACTTACAAAAAGATGTGTTTCCAAGAGTAAAAAAAAAGCCAGCGATAATGTAATAATGATAACAGTACAACTATAATGGACTTGAATTAAAACTTGCTTTGATATAAAATAATATTGAGAGCAGAAGCAAAGACCATTTTGTATCAAGCTGTAAAATATATAGTTAATTACAAAAACTTACACTATGTGCTAACATATATTATTAAGACAATTTAGAAAAAAAAAAGTCATTGCGACAAAAAAAGTACAAAATACAGCTACTCTACGGTGCTCATATTCGGACTGAACTGGCAAACAATATGGAATGCAAGGTGAAGCTTTGCGCAAGTTATAAATTAACAGGTGAGAAGGGTAACTAACGTGTTTCAATGAGCTAAATTTATATTATGCTCCTCATCCTCCTCCTTAAACAATCTTGTCATGCTTCGAGTTGGCTGCAGTTATATATTTGCTATATAATCAAACCGAATTAAAAGTAGGATCGCTCGTTTTTCACATTATACAACGCATTCATGTTTTGACGGTGCAAGATGGTGAATACAGTGATAAAATATATACTTATATAGTTTTTTTTATTTATTTTTTTACTCTCTTTTATACCGTGTCTTCTCATCCTGACTGTATAAAATGCTTGTATTTTTTTTTTCTTTTTGGTTTTAATAAAAGTACAAATAATAATAAAAAAAGGAATGTTGTGCATTCTCTTGGTCCCTGCCTCTCTGGCTTCTCTGAAGGGTTAATGGCCCATTCCTGTTCAAATACAAAAGAAAAAGAAGTCACATTAATAAAAACACTTACATAAAAATGTGCACTTATGTAGAAGAATACATTGTAAAAAAAATATGATCAATGACAGCATATGATTTTAGTTCATTGTAACTTATTTAACTTAGTTAATCATGTTCTAACTTCATTTTATGAGTTACACAAGTTGTTTTAAGTCAGTTTAACATAATATAAGTTCAATGGACTCATAAAGTTAATTTGTCTCCCCTTAAAATTTTAATGCAACCAGGATTTTTTTGTACAGTGCAGTACATACACATACAGTGCTCAGCATATTTCAGTACAGCCCAGTTTGAAACTGAATATTTGTATTAATTTCTCAGTGAATTTAGGCAATGCATTTAAACAAAACTGATTTATTAAACAGATATATTTATTAAAATAAGATTTTTGTCACCAAACATAGATAGAAATAGAAAGATAATTCAATTAAATTCAAGCAAAATATTGCAAAAAATATTTTTATATATTTCTTTATTTATATTTAATATTAGTCTTATACATTTGGGTGTACTAGTTTTAGGACTATTATCGTAAGTTATTACGTTAGATAATGTTGGAATATTGGAGATCAATGTCAAAAGTATTAGTAAATTTCTCAAGTACGAATGAATATATCGATTCACAGAATTCTGGCATCCCTAATGCAATTCAAAATTTACATTCAGGAGGTGCGCAACAATATTCATTTCCGGACTCCAACTTTTATAGGCAGCTGATATTAAGCTGTGAAGTTTAGTAAAAGTCTTCACTTGTCAATCATTCTCCAGTCCCCCATTGGCCGCACCCATACATACGTCCTCTTTTTAAAATTCATATTTAATATTTGTTTATTACATATAAATTTGGGTGTACTCATTTTTAAAGCATTACCATAAGTTATTTTGTAAGATAATGTTTGAATATTGGAGATCAATGCCGAGATAATTAGTAATTTATTAAGTACAAATAAATATATCGATTCACAGAATTCTGGTGTCCCTAGTGCAATGCAAAATTTATGGAAATTCGTCACTTGTCAATCATTCGCCAGTCCTTTATTGGGCGCACCCATACATACATCCTCTTTTTCTACAAATTCTCTGCACAACATTAAAAACACAAGACTTCTCAACTACTAGTATTCGGTGTTAAATTTTAACCCATCTCTGCTCAAAGGAAGTTTCGCTGCAGAGCTCAAGTTCATTTTAGAAAATCAAGCCTTTGCATTTCAATCAGCTTCGTCTATTTCTGCAAAAATGCTTCATTAGTATGCGAGGCATATCACACTCAAGAGAGGAGTTTAGTTAATATTTCACCTTTAGTTAATGTTTCATCGAAACTCGAACAATATATTGTTCAGCCCTATAGGTGGAAGGTCTTTTGATGGCATCTCCATGCGGCATAATGCTAATCTCCAGCCTCCCCATGCAGTAATGTGACTAACATGCAGCTTTAGCCCTGCTGGCACCGACACACACCCAGAATCCACAGCCTGATACTGAGATGAGCAGGCCGACGCAGTTCAGGCCAGCATAACACAACAACCTGTCGCCCATTACCCAAAAAACGCCTGGCACGCACGAAGGCCACCGCGTCCCCTTCAATAACAAATGGCCTGCGTTCAAAATAGAAAACAATGCCAAAGAGGCATTTTAAAACACGCAGCCGGTGAACGACGTGCCTGCAGCGATGATTTATCATTGGCAGGGTTTCCTGGCAGAGGGGATTGTGGGTGTTGTGCAATATGGAGAGACCTGCCCTTCACTGGAGGACTTCATTTTGACCTCGAGAATGCAAGAAACAAGCTACAATTCAATCACTAGTCCTAAACATACAAGCTATTAGATTTCTTTGATCTTAATTGGATTGTTTATCTAGTCTAGTTGGAAAACAGGAAATCTTGATGATCTTTTGGTTTCAATGGATGTTTTTTACATTTCTGAGGTTCTCAAAAGCTCTTAACAACCAAGTGAAATCAAGATTTTCAATGTTTATTTTGATAGCTCACATAGTTAGGTAACGGTTTATTTTGATGGTCCATTTGGGTATTAGTAGACTGTCTGCTTAATAACTGTTGATATTGCTGCTAAACAGACATGTAACTGACTATAAGAAACTTTGCAAGTACATGTCAACTTACACTAACCCCAACCTACGAGTCTACTGTTAATTTAATAAGAATTCATTGGCTTGTAGATGCAATGTAACTTAAATTTAACAAACAGACCATCAAAATAAAGTGTGACCCATTGTTATCCTTAAGGCCTGTGCACAACGAGACGTTTTTTGCTAATGTTTTCTGTCAACGTTTAACGCCTCGTGACTATATAAAGGGCGTCAATGTGATCGTGCACACCAACGCGCAAAACGCCAGGCGCAAAAGCATAATTAAAAAATAAACAAAACAACTCATGCTTGTTTTGTTGATTTAACATGCCGCGTTAAAACCTTCTCCACCAATCAGATTGGCACTTTTGTTCACATGCGAGGAGCTGCTGAAGTTACAGAAAACAGCACTTGGAGGCGCTCAAGCGCAAAACTGTCAATGCGAGCGCACATTGAAGAAGATGCCCAGAGACGATATGAACGTGGAGCTGCTTATTGCTCTGGTGAACAATAATCATTTCTTCATCGCTAGAGCAGCTGCTTGAACCATCCATGCTAGTTCAAGTCACCAGTAACTTTAACAACAAGTGTGTGAACTTCCTCTCTTCCTCTTCTTCTGTGTTACAAGCAGGTGTCGGAAGCTTAAAGTTGTGTTGTGTAGCGCCATCTAACGTCAAGGAAGGATTTTGCATACTCTTCAGCTCAACGCCAGTGAAAATCGCTTGGGTTTGAATGCGAAAAAAAACTCTCGTAAAACGCTGACGATAAACACAAACAAAAAGCTTCCATGTGTTTAGGAGCCTTTACAATGAATAATTAATTTATGCAAGTTTTACAAGTTTGTTTTCATTAATTTTCAAGAGTCTGATCATTTGATTATATGTTTGGAGTGGCGGTACCAAAGAGCCTAGAATCACCAAGAGGCGACACTCAATAGAACGTTGCACTGCAACAGCAGTGGCCAGCAACAGACCTGCGTTTCCGGCATATATATATATATATATATATATATATATATATAT